GGATGATGTGGTGCTACAATCGTATTGGTGCAAATATTTTGTGGCTGGGAGACACTGCTTCGCTGCTGAAAACTGCAAGTTCTCGCACGACGCAACTGGTGTAAGGTGTATCCAGTTTGCTCAGTCTGGGAAATGCCGTCATGGGGACAGGTGCGTCTTCGTACATGGTGATCCGCTGGATGGACCGAGGCCAAGGTCTCCAAGGACGCCCCCAAGGGATGGTCCAAGGAGAAGTGCTGGTTCAAGAGGTGGAGGAAAGGAAGTTTCTCCTGAACGTTTTGAAGAAGAAGAGGAGGATCTGATGACATATGATGACGACACCAGGATGATGGAATTGCTGATGGAGGCAATTTCGTACATGTCTGATGGCAAGCCAGATTTAGCCCGCGCAGAAGCGGATCCGGTGTTCAAACTCTTGAAATTCAATGGGGATGCTGAACAGATGGACGCAGAATGGTGTTCATGGACGTCTGGTATGTTATCTTCATTGGAACTTCACGAGATCGTGATGTCGTACGAGATTCCGCTGGTGGACGTGGAAGAATGGATCGATGATCTGAGGATATGGTTTCAACGAGCCAATATGGGAGAAGAGAGTGATCCAAAAAAGGGCAAAAAGAGGTCCCTAGAAAGGGAGTCCAGCAAGGATACTCCTGACAAAAAGGGTATGGTTGCAAACTCGGAGACAGATATCGCCGCTGAAGAGGAGGTGAAGAAAGCCAAAAAGAAGAGGAAACCTGTGGCTAGTGAGGATCCTTATACTCTTCTGGTTCCAAGGCCGAAGAAGATGCCGGAGAAGATTGAGAAGGGTGGATCGTCATCAAAGGCGGCGGCTTCTGAGGGGGAAAAGGCCTCCTCGAAAATGCGCACCAAGACATGTGTCTCGGGGAAGACAAAAAAGAAAGAGAAAAGCCAAAGCCCCAAGAAGGAAGAGGTGGTAGTGGTGGAAGGTCCTGGGGAAAAGGATCGTTCTTCTGAACTGGATGTACAAGCGTCTACCACTGTGGATGCGGAACTGGGTCAATCTTGCCAGGCTATTGAGGACGCAAAGAGAGAAGGATTGGTATCCTCAATACAAAGGTGTGTACAAGATCCTGTTCTTACAGTGTCGGACTTGGAGCACGTGCTGCTACGACTTCATATGAGCATCGGTGCCAATCGGGAGAAGAAGAAGGGATGATTGGATGGTATCGATGGGGGAATGGTTCCTTTTCTTCCTGGAGACAAGTTTCTCTGGAACAGCCAATGCGCTGAATGGATGGTGGCTACTATTAAGGGTATGGAAATCCCTGATAGTAGAAGTCAGTAGCTTTTAGCGTAGCGAAGACCACGGTTCGTGGTGAAGAAGACTGAAGAGTCTTCAATGACAAGAGAATCATGGTGCAAAAAGATTCTCTGTGGTAAAAGGTGTTTAGCCAATGTACTATAAATTCGTCCTGGATGACGTTAAACCGTAACATGCATTCCAAGCAGCTGGCTGCTGTCCTAATGACAGCTTTTGGCCCAAAAGTATGCACCTCCAATGTGTGTCCTAGGAAATTTTAGGACAGGGGGAGTGCGGAGCTGCAATTTGCATTAAAGGAAAGAGTTGGGTAGAAGGATTGAGGGTCAATGTACCCGGTATAATTTTGGCTCAAGAAACTTGGGCAATGCGCCCTGAGGAAAAGAGTTTCTCTTGGTTTTGGGTTGGTTCGTCTTTCTGGTTGGTTCTGGGGAATTCATTCAGGCAGCGGTTGAGGGTTGACACCCTGGTTGGCCCCCTTTCGGTTGCCCCCGTACCCTAAACCCTAAAAGCCATGGTCCCCCAGTCATGAAGGCATTGGAGGCATGGTCCTTTTGGGTCCAAACCGTCTCAGGTCATCCCATGAAGCTCTGCAAGTTGGGGGGTTTGTGCCTTTTGGACGCGATGCATGAATAATACAATGCTTGTCGACCGGTTTCGGGCGTGATTCAGCCACATCAGATGGGAAGCCTATCGTGGAGCTCCCTCCCCGAACACCCCCAGCAAGATCCTTCAGCGACAGTGGCCAAGCGAGACCGGCATGTCCGGCAGCGCAAGGCTGCGACGCATCCCCACATGGTGCTCAGTATGCCCTCCTTCCTAGCTGGATCAAGCCCCAGCAACTGTCTTGTCAACAGGCCATTCATGCAGCCTGGTCAAAAAACGAGCTTGCAAGCTGGACTTCATCGGGTCTGGAAACTCCGAACCAGCAGCACTAAAGCCGATTTTCTCACTCGGAAGAATGCCTCCGAAGAATGGCAAAACCAAGACTGCTCCCTCCACACAGCTCCTTGGACCCAGCCGTCTGCAGACCTAGCATCACCTACTAACCAACCATAACTGTACTTATAACCCACTTATGAGCCCCTTAAGTGCCCTAAGATGGTTACAAATTTTTAAATACAGTTCTAAGTACAGTTATAATTGATTAACAAGTCCCATGAACCCCCCCCCAAAAAAAACACCCAGCCTGGCCCAGATTTCCGAAACTGGGTATGATAAGAGGATCCAACTATTTGTGGGTCCATATAAGGTCCTTCTTACATCCCACTATTTGTGGGTCTATTATAGGGGTCCCCTATTATTATCGTAAACCCCCAGCTGACAAAACCAGGGAAGCGCCCTAAACCCTAAACTCTAAACCCTAAACCCTAAACCACAGCGGAAACCCCAGGATCCCGGCATCCCAGCCTCTTTGAGGCAAAGCCACCAGCCACGCCCTTGGTCAACTCCATCCTGGACACTCGTTGGGTTTAGTTAGGGTGTAGGGTTTAGGGGTTTAGGGGTTTAGGGGTTTAGGGGTTTAGGGGTTTAGGGGTTTAGGGGTTTAGGGGTTTAGGGGTTTAGGGGTTTAAGGGTTTAGGGGTTTAGGGGTTTAGGGGTTTAGGGGTTTACAGGCTTGGGGTGGGTTCAATTTGGGCTAAATTTGTCAGGCTTGGGCGGCTTGGGGTCGACAGACTGGAGCCGGTCGGGATGGACAGAAGCCCTGGCTGAAGGCGCCTGAATCAAGCCAAACCTTAATCTAACCCCTTTTTCGCATCCGGGCTTGGGGAGTTAAATTAAGCCTAAACCCTAAACACTTTTGAAAAACTGGACTGCGTGCAACTGCCAGAACCCTATAAACCCTAAACCCGAAACCCTAAACCCCAAACCCGAAGCCCTAAACCCTAAACAAAAGCCACCTGGTTGCAAACAAGCCTCCGCCTGCCAGGTGATGTTCCCATGTGGGACAACACCTGCTGGAGCATCACTACTCTCGCCAGAGTACTCGACGTCATTCACGACCAAAACGTCCGTGTAATGGGTGTTAAACGCCCGCACCTCAACCAGGATGGGCCATTCTACCCGATACAACCCCTTAAACAGGCATTTTATAGGGTTGATTATGGGGATTATGAGGCCTAACATGTCCAGTGCTGCATCATACCCCTCCGTCAACGACCGATGCCCACTCAACATGAGCCTCGCACCTCAATCGCCAAAGAGTTCATGGAGTTGTTGTGGACGGTGATGGTACAGCTGTCCAGTGAAGGGTACGCGGCCGTGGTGAAGTAGCCAGTGCTGTAGATGCAACCATCTTGGGATGCTTTGCAAGACCTTAGCAACCATCCCGCGAAGGCTGTGCCCTTCTTGCTCGATCGAATCTCCGATCTATCGTGCGAATGCTGGCCCTCCTCCACAAAAAATCCATTACGCACGAGGTTGGCGCAAAGAGAAACCTCCAGCAAGCCTCTCTCAGAAAGCCCCTTGGGCCGCAGCCCTGCCGTGACAGTCCACGGACCCTGGCTGTCAGCTTGTCGAGGCATTTGGGGGTTTCCGAAAATAGGGGGCACCCTTTTTGGGGGTCCCTTGAAGGATTCTATTCGGTTTGGGGCATAAAAGGGGCACCTCGAAACCCTAAACCCTAAACCCTAAACCCTCATTTCTTTTGTGAGGTCATCAGGTCTGGGGCCGAAGGATGCCTAACTCAACAAGTGTTCGGACCCCCAACATTCGAAATGGACTTCAAGTGAAACCATCCCCCAAATCACCAACAACTCCTTCAACGAGCAGATCACCAACTTTCTACCACTTTTTCCAACTTTCAGATTTCAACTGACTATTAAGTCATTAAGTCATTAAGTTAAACGGGAGTGCCTGCACCCTACCCAGCTTGCATTCCTCTATGGACGACTTCTCAGCTCTCGGATAGTCAGCTGCCCCCCCTCCCCCGCAGTTTCCAGCTTAAGTGCCGACTCCCTTGTAAGTTTATGGTGCCGAGACAAATGGTGGAGTCACTGCTCTGCTGGTGCAACTCTTTTAAAGGAAACCATATCGGTGCCCCCGCAAAACCCCCTAACAACCCCCAATTCAACGGCTAAGTCGGCTAAGTCCTCAACTGCACGGAGTCCACTTAGGGTTTGGGGTTTAGCGTGTAGGGTTTAGGGCTTAGGGAGATTGTTTTCCATGCGGGCTTGGGCCTCCTGGAGGCCCTTGCAAGCTCCCCTAACAAGAGCAAGTTTGCGATTGTTTCCTTCCCGAAACCACCTGCTAGCCCGTTAAGGTGCACCGTTCTTGACCAGTTGTAGAAGCCTCGCATACTCGTTCAGAAACCGTGCCCTGCAATCCCTGGACCAAGTCCATCTTGGCGCAGATGGCGCAGGTGCCTCAGTGGCAGCCTCAGTCGTTCGGGTTGCCGTCAATGTGCTCGTCGTCCTCGGGCTTGTGCGCTGGCCATCATCGGGTTTGGAGCTCTCAAGGTGGTACAGGTACGTGCTTGGACAGTGCGCAGGACCCACAGAATCGGAGTTCAAGATTAATATGGCGACGGCTTCCAAGAGCGTCCGAGAGTCTGGATCGCTGGTGCCTGTCGCGGAGCATGAATGGAGGAGCGAGGGAAGACAAATGAAGACAGCGTTTCGGGACTTCTACAAGCTGCTAGATTCGCAATTGACAGGGGCGTGACGTCAGATCATGGGCAGTGTCTTGCAACACCGTTGATCTGTTGATCTCTCACGCTTCATTTCAGGAGCTCCCATTCCTTCGTGCCTGCCTCCAGGCAGATTTTCCATCCGCGATCGAACCGGCTGCCCTGCATGCAAAACAGCATGGAGCATGTTGATTCAAGACTCCCAAACCCAAGAAGACCTACCTCGACTTCCCATTCGATCGCTCCAGTGGGCACGATGCCCTGGGGGCCGTCCGAACCAGAGTAGTCCTCGCCGTTGACAACCAAGTAGTGGTTGGACCTGGAAAGCACGCGAGAGCAAAAACGTGAAGGCTAAAGTGGGTTTGTCGACCAAGCACCTGGTGTCGAAGAAAATCACATTGATGGCTCGAGTGTTGTCCTGAGCGGTGGAAGCGGTGGAAGTAGCCCAAACCCTTCTTCAAGTTTGCAGACGTGTGCATTCTCCACCTGGACGGTCTCTAAGGGTCCTGTTCCACCCAAATCTCGCAGTAGCTATCGTCGTAATCCCTTGGGTAGTTTGGGCTGCTGATGCAGCCCTGCTCGTCCATTTCGCATGGCCTCGGCCCAAAAAGTTGAACCGGGCACCAAACGCGAGGAACACACGCTGGGGCGCAAACCCTTGGTCGATGGTCCACGGGATCGGTGCCTGCTCATCAAGAAAGTCCGAAACCCAGCACCCTTTCAGCCTTCAAGCTTCTCACAATCAGGACGACTACTTACAATTCAAGAATCTAAGCAATCTAAGCTGGCGGATTCCCATCCCAAGCCCTTAGTGCACGCACCTGAGTGGTGGCCTGCGTAGTCGTCGTGGTCGTGAGCCTTCGGGTTGCCGTCAACGTGCTCGTCGCCCTCGGGCTTGTGCGCTGGCCATCATCGGGTTTGGAGCTCTCAAGGTGGTACAGGTACGTGCTCGGACATTGCACGGACAGGACCCACAGAAATCGGAGTTCAAGATCAATATAGCGACGGCTTCCAAGAGCGTCCGAGAGTCTGGATCGCTGGTGCCTGTCGCGGAGCATGAGTGGAGGAGCGAGGGAAGACAAATGAAGACAGCGTTTCGGGGCTTCTTCTGCCTCCAAGACAAGCTTCAGCCAGCAGCTAGGTTCGCAATTGACAGGGAGGGGCGTGACGTCAGAGCATGGGCAGTGTCTTGCAACCCCGTTGATCTGTTGATCTCTCACGCGTCATTTCAGGAGCTCCCATTCCTTCGTGCCTGCCTCCAGGCAGATTTTCCATCCGCGATCGAACCGGCTGCCCTGCATGCAAAACAGCATGGAGCATGTTGATTCAAGACTCCCAAACCCAAGAAGACCTACCTCGACTTCCCATTCGATCGCTCCAGTGGGCACGATGCCCTGGGGGCCGTCCGAACCAGAGTAGTCCTCGCCGTTGACAACCAAGTAGTGATTGGACCTGGAAAGCACGCGAGAGCAAAAACGTGAAGGCTAAAGTGGGTTTGTCGACCAAGCACCTGGTGTCGAAGAAAATCACATTGATGGCTCGAGTGTTGTCCTGAGCGGTGGAAGCGGTGGAAGTAGCCCAAACCCTTCTTCAAGTTTGCAGACGTGTGCATTCTCCACCTGGACGGTCTCTAAGGGTCCTGTTCCACCCAAATCTCGCAGTAGCTATCGTCGTAATCCCTTGGGTAGTTTGGGCTGCTGATGCAGCCCTGCTCGTCCATTTCGCATGGCCTCGGCCCAAAAAGTCGAACCGGGCACAAAACGCGAGGAACACACGCTGGGGCGCAAACCCTTGGTCGATGGTCCACGGGATCGGTGCCTGCTCATCAAGAAAATCCGAAACCCAGCACCCTTTCAGCCTTCAAGCTTCTCACAATCAGGACGACTACTTACAATTCAAGAATCTAAGCAATCTAAGCTGGCGGATTCCCATCCCAAGCCCTGAGTGCACGCACCTGAGTGGTGGCCTGCGTAGTCGTCGTGGTCGTGAGCCTTCGGGTTGCCGTCGACGTGCTCGTCGTCCTCGGGCTTGTGCGCTGGCCATCATCGGGTTTGGAGCTCTCAAGGTGGTACAGGTACGTGCTCGGACAGTGCACAGACCCTAAACCCTAAACCCAAAACCCTAAACCGGAGTTTAAGATTATGTGGCGACCGAGAGTCTGGATCTCTGGTGCCTGAGGAGCGAGGGAAGACACGTGAAGACGGCGGGTTCAGGGATTTAGGGTCTAGGGTTTAGGGTTTGGGTTAAGGGTTTAGGGCTTCTTGGTGCTCAGAGTCGCTGAGCCGTCGTGAAGCCGTCGCATGCCGTCAAGGCTACCAGAGACATGGCATGTTTAAGCACCCTAAGCCCTAAACCCTAAACCCTAAACCCAAAACCCTAAACCCTAAACCCTAAACCCGAAAGTTCTAGCATCTCAGAGGTGGCCTGCGCGGTCGGCGTGGTGGTGAGACTTCGGGTTGCCGTCAATGTGCTTGTCCTCGTCACGGGCTACTGCAGGAAGATGGTTGAAACATCTAAACCCTAAACCCTAAACCCTAAACCTTAAACCCTAAACCCTAAACCCTAAACCCTTTGGCCCACAAGGAACTGCAAGGAACTGATGGTATCCGTATTCAGGATGTCAAAAACAGTCGCCAAGAGTCATCGTCTCTGACACCTGCCATGTCGCAAAAAGGACCATGTGCCTATTCAGGTGACCTAAACCCTAAACCCTAAACCCTATACCCTATAAACCCTAAACCCTAAACCCTAAACCCTAGAACCATGCTGCACGGCCATCCGCCGACCCTGGAGCCGGGAGTTGGGCCGGAAACGTGAAAACAGGGAGGGGCGCGGTGGGTCAACCCGTAACCCCAGAGACCCCCTGCAAAGGCACCTCTTGTCGGTTTAGGGTTTAGGGTTTAGGGTTTAGGGTTTAGGGTTTAGGGTTTAGGGTTTAGGGTTTAGGGTTTAGGGTTTAGGGTTTAGGGTTTAGGGTTTCGGGTTTCGGGTTTAGGGTTTAGGGTTTAGGGTTTAGGCGGGACCCTGAAAATTACCTAGTGACTCCCCCAAAAAATCCTAGTCATTCCGACAGCACCAGTAAGACGAGCCCATCGCAGGCAGCGATGAAGTAGTGATGTCACCATTGTTACCACTATCCTGCGATTCAAGTGACCCAGTCTTTGTGCTGACAGCATGGGGACTCCTAAAGACCCACAGCAAACCCCACTTTTAGGAACCCTTCAAGAGCCTGGACCCCCGCCCTGTCCAAACCATGACAAGGCTCCCACCACATCCCACCACATCCCACCACATCCCACCACATCCCACCACATCCCACCACATCCCACCACCATCGTTGGCTGAGCCCCTAGATCTTGCTTGGGCCTTTTTCGTGGGCCCTGGTTTGAGACCTGCTTCTGTCTTTTGGATGAGGTGCTGGGCGGGTTTCCTCCTCTTCCGCCTCTTGGTCGGTGGTCTGAGCCGGAAGTTGGAAGTTCTTATCTCCGACCCCTCCGGCCGTGGTCCAGGACGGAGCTCACGTTGCTCGCGAAGCGCTAGCCAGCTGTATAGCGCCCCCACAACGCTTTTTGGGACCCTCCTGGGCTCGTCATCGCACCCACTTGATACTTTTTTAAAATTTTGTGACTATGGGCCGACCTGATTTCGTAAGGTTGTTGACACATCGTTACAACCCCTATACCTACCCTGCCCTTGCGACCATTGCCCCGCCCCCGAAGTGAGCGTTCTCGACTCCACTTTCCACTCTCCCTCCGTTGAAGACCGCAGCGTCAGTAAGCATCTGCCAAAGGCACTCAACAGGACCGGCCTTCACAACCTTTGAAGGCTCAACAACCTAACCCAACTCCCAACTCCGACCTTGCGCCCCCTGAACAACGAAACCATCAACATGCTCCTGTGGACAAAGATGGACCAATCTTCAACAAGCTACCTGTTCGGGTCGGGCCGACCGAAGCAAAGCCATAGACCCCCACATAGTAGGATTCCCTTCTAATCAGGACCCCGAAAATCCCAAAATAAGGTACCCCGAAGATGGTAAACCCCCAAATACTATAAGCACACGCACACCGTGGCTTCGCCCCTGAAGTCGTGGCCGCTGTAACCTCGGCCTGTTCACTCTGCTACCAGCCACCAGCCACTGTGCTGTTAGCCTACGCTTCTTGCATTGGCTCTTCACCTTGAGTTTTAGGTTATGGGTTTGTCGGGTTTTTAGGGTTCAGGGTGTGCTGTTTGACGCAGCAAGCAGCTGGGGCCGTTCAGTCTATTGCGGGGGGTTAGTCTCTTTAGAACCTGCTGTTCCAGGAGCCCACATGCCAGCCTCTGCAACAGTCACCGTAGTTGTCGGCGTCAGTGTCGTCAGTGTCGTCGTCGACATCAACGTCGCCGTCGTTGTCACCGTGCTGCTTGTAGCAGCCTCTGCTGCCGGCGAAGTCGGACCATGCAGAAGGACGCAATCATTACAGCACCATTAGTCAACGGTTTGGCTGGGATAGTACGAGTAGTACAAGAACAGTTCAAACTTCAGCTTTGCCAGCCTCCACCAAGCAAATTTTCCAGCCAGATTTTGTGGTCGATCCGTCCTTGGCCCGTGAATGCTTGAGACCAGCATCATTCCAGAACACAAGCTCGCCCCGCATTCCCACTTCAGTCAAGAAACGGAATCCCAAACGATATCCTGTGTGGGAACAATGCCCGCCGGCCCGTCGCTAGTGCTGGTGCCATCGTATGCGATGCCATTTACCCACAACTTGTCATAGTTGTTCTCCGTGCTGAACGCGACCACGTCGATGAGCCGCGTGTTGCCCGAATCTATGGAAATTGTGCATGCATCGTTGTCCGGGTAGTTGCTGGAGGGATACCCACTGCTGCTGATGCAGCCATCTCCGCCCAGGACGCAAGTCCTCGGCACAGCGCAGTGGTCAAAAACTCTGTCGCCCGCAACCGATTTGGTAGGGACCTGGCCCACTCGCGACGCTCCATCCTGGGTCCTCGCAAGGAAAGTGAGTGCACAGGGCCACGAAAACGCGCCTTGCCAATGTTCCACTACTACATGACCGGGCCTACAGTTTAGGCACGCAAGGTTTACAGCAGTTTTACAGCCATAAACGGAGGATGTGGAGGACACGAAGAACAGGAACAGGAAGGATCCATGCGGGCTAGTCCACCCGAACCAAACTATTCTGTTGTGACTGTTGCGGGGGTGTCCATGGACTTGTTGGAGGTGCTTGCTTAGACTGCTGCATCCTGCCGCAGAAGATCCTATACCCCAAGCTATGCTTTCCCAGAATATGTCTACTAGGATGAGATTTGGACGCTCTATGCCACTATGCCAACTACACGACAAGATCTGCAGGATTTGACGCTTGACGTGTATTTGGACGATGGTAAGAACGAATCTGCGTTCAGGAGGGGCCTGAACATTTGCACAGGTCTCAAGCAGTGACACGCACGCAGTAAGATTATGTAAGATTCTCAGAGACGTTCACTATGGCCAGCCTCCGCCAAGCAAATTTTCCAGCCAGATTTTGCGGTCGATCCGTCCTTGGCCCGTGAATGCTCGAGACCAGCATCATTCCAGAACACAAGCTCGCCCCGCATTCCCACTTCAGTCAAGAAACGGAATCCCAAACGATATCCTGTGTGGGAACAATGCCCGCCGGCCCGTCGCTAGTGCTGGTGCCATCGTATGCGATGCCATTCACCCACAACTTGTCATAGTTGTTCTCTGTGCTGAACGCGACCACGTCGATGAGCCGCGTGTTGCTCGAATCTACGGAGATTGTGCATGCATCGTTGTCCGGGTAGTTGCTGGAGGGATACCCGCTGCTGCTGATGCAGCCATCTCCGCCAAGGACGCAAGTCCTCGGTGCAGCGCAGCCGCCAAAAACTCTTTCGCCCGCAACCGATTTGGTAAGGACCCGGCCCACTCGCGACGCTCCATCCTGGGTCCTTGCAGGGAAAGTGAGTGCTGCATGCTGCATCTACAGCGCCACGAAAACGCTTGCAGTGCTGCAGAATCGCTGGTTGCAGTTGTCAACCTGCAGAAGCAACTCTCTTTGGCTAGGCCTTAGGCACGCTAGGCCTTCCAGAGGCTGTCTTAAACTTAGGGCGGTTCCGACTAACCCTGCCCCAACCTCTAAGAATCTGAAGGTTGCAAGCCCCAGTTTTACAAACCACACACATGCGGCCCAAACGCTGCCAAGACTGTCTGACGCTACAGCTTGCTGAAAGCAGCTTCTTTAAACGTCTGGAACTGGAACGTTTAGCATTCGGTTTTCGACAGAAACTAGATTTGAACTTCGGTCGCCCTCGGCGCAAGCACCTGGGGCTGTTTCTGCAGCGGGGCTGTTTAGTTTTGGGAATTCTATGCCTGGTGGTCTTTTCCAAAGCTTGTTTTGTGATGAGCCCCTGCGCCAGCCTCTGCAAGGGTCGCTGTAGTTGTCGGTGTCAGTGTCGTCAGCGTCGTCGTCGACATCCATGTCGCCGTCGTTGTCGCCGTGCTGCTTGTAGCAACCTCGGCCAGCGAAAGCGGACCCATGCCAAAAGGACACAAACGATATGGCACTTTACTGCACCAGTCACCAGTAGTCGACAACGGTTCAAACTTCAGCTTTGCCAGCCTCCACCAAGCAAATCTTCCAGCCAGATTTTGTGGTCGATCCATCCTTGGCCCGTGAATGCTCGAGACCGGCATCATCTCAGAACACAAGCTCGCCCCGCATTCCCACTTCAGTCAAGAAACGGAATCCCAAACGATATCCTGTGTGGGAACAATGCCCGCCGGCCCGTCGCTAGTGCTGGTGCCATCGTATGCGATGCCATTCACCCACAACTTGTCATAGTTGTTCTCTGTGCTGAACGCGACCACGTCGATGAGCCGCGTGTTGCTCGAATCTACGGAAATTGTGCATGCATCGTTGTCCGGGTAGTTGCTGGAGGGATACCCGCTGCTGCTGATGCAGCCATCTCCGCCCAGGACGCAAGTCCTCGGCGCAGCGCAGTGGTCAAAAACTCTGTCGCCCGCAACCGATTTGGTAGGGACCCGGCCCACTTGCGACGCTCCATCCTGGGTCCTTGCAAGGAAAGTGGGTGCACAGGGCCACGAAAACGCGCCTTGCCAATGTTCCACTACTACATGACCGGGCCTACAGTTTAGGCACGCAAAGTTTACAGCAGTTTTACAGCCATAAACGGAGGATGTGGAGGACATGAAGAACAGGACCAGGAAGGATCCATGCGGGCTAGTCCACCCGAACCAAACTATTCTGTTGTGACTGTTGCGGGGGTGTCCATGGACTTGTTGGAGGTGCTTGCTTAGACTGCTGCATCCTGCCGCAGAAGATCACTAATTAGCCATCCCACTCGCCGAAGATTCCTATACCCCAAGCTATGCTTTCCCAGAATATGTCTACTGGGATGAGATTTGGACGCTTGACGTGTATTTGGACGATGGTAAGAACGAATCTGCGTTCAGGAGGGGCCTGAACATTTGCACAGGTCTCAAGCAGTGACACGCACGCAGTAAGATTCTCAGAGACGTTCACTATGCCAGCCTCCGCCAAGCAAATTTTCCAGCCAGATTTTGTGGTCGATCCGTCCTTGGCCCGTGAATGCTCGAGACCAGCATCATTCCAGAACACAAGCTCGCCCCGCATTCCCACTTCAGTCAAGAAACGGAATCCCAAACGATATCCTGTGTGGGAACAATGCCCGCCGGCCCGTCGCTAGTGCTGGTGCCATCGTATGCGATGCCATTCACCCACAACTTGTCATAGTTGTTCTCTGTGCTGAACGCGACCACGTCGATGAGCCGCGTGTTGCTCGAATCTACGGAAATTGTGCATGCATCGTTGTCCGGGTAGTTGCTGGAGGGATACCCGCTGCTGCTGATGCAGCCATCTCCGCCCAGGACGCAAGTCCTCGGCGCAGCGCAGTGGTCAAAAACTCTGTCGCCCGCAACCGATTTGGTAGGGACCCGGCCCACTTGCGACGCTCCATCCTGGGTCCTTGCAGGGAAAGTGAGTGCTGCATGCTGCATCTACAGCGCCACGAAAACGCTTGCAGTGCTGCAGAATCGCTGGTTGCAGTTGTCAACCTGCAGAAGCAACTCTCTTTGGCTAGGCCTTAGGCACGCTAGGCCTTCCAGAGGCTGTCTTAAACTTAGGGCGGTTCCGACTAACCCTGCCCCAACCTCTGAAGAATCTGAAGGTTGCAAGCCCCAGTTTTACAAACCACACACATGCGGCCCAAACGCTGCCAAGACTGTCTGACGCTACAGCTTGCTGAAAGCAGCTTCTTTAAACGTCTGGAACTGGAACGTTTAGCATTCGGTTTTCGACAGAAACTAGATTTGAACTTCGGTCGCCCTCGGCGCAAGCACCTGGGGCTGTTTCTGCAGTTGGGCTGTTTAGTTTTGGGAATTCTATGCCTGGTGGTCTTTTCAAAAGCTTGTTTTGTGATGAGCCCCTGCGCCAGCCTCTGCAAGGGTCGCTGTAGTTGTCGGTGTCAGTGTCGTCAGCGTCGTCGTCGACATCCATGTCGCCGTCGTTGTCGCCGTGCTGCTTGTAGCAACCTCGGCCAGCGAAAGCGGACCCATGCCAAAAGGACACAAACGATATGGCACTTTACTGCACCAGTAGTCGACAACGGTTCAAACTTCAGCTTTGCCAGCCTCCACCAAGCAAATCTTCCAGCCAGATTTTGTGGTCGATCCATCCTTGGCCCGTGAATGCTCGAGACCGGCATCATCTCAGAACACAAGCTCGCCCCGCATTCCCACTTCAGTCAAGAAACGGAATCCCAAATGATATCCTGTGTGGGAACAATGCCCGCCGGCCCGTCGCTAGTGCTGGTGCCATCGTATGCGATGCCATTCACCCACAACTTGTCATAGTTGTTCTCCGTGCTGAATGCGACCACGTCGATGAGCCGCGTGTTGCCCGAATCTACGGAGATTGTGCATGCATCGTTGTCCGGGTAGTTGCTGGAGGGATACCCGCTGCTGCTGATGCAGCCATCTCCGCCCAGGACGCAAGACCTCGGCGCAGCGCAGTGGTCAAAAACTCTGTCGCCCGCAACCGATTTGGTAGGGACCCGGCCCACTCGCGACGCTCCATCCTGGGTCCTCGCAAGGAAAGTGAGTGCACAGGGCCACGAAAACGCGCCTTGCCAATGTTCCACTACCACATGACCGGGCCTACAGTTTAGGCACGCAAAGTTTACAGCGGTTTTACAGCCATAAACGTAGGATGTGGAGGACAGGAAGAACAGGAACAGGAAGGATCCATGCGGGCTAGTCCACCCGAACCAAACTATTCTGTTGTGACTGTTGCGGGGTGTCCATGGACTTGTTGGAGGTGCTTGCTTAGACTGCTGCATCCTGCCGCAGAAGATCACTAGCCATCCCACTCGCCGAAGATTCCTATACCCCAAGCTATGCTTCCACAGAATATGTCTACTAGGATGAGATTTGGACGCTCTATGCCAACTACACGACAAGATCTGCAGGATTTGACGCTTGACGTGTATTTGGACGATGGTAAGAACGAATCTGCGTTCAGGAGGGGCCTGAACATTTGCACCGGTCTCAAGCAGTGACACGCACGCAGTAAGATTCTCAGAGACGTTCACTATGCCAGCCTCCACCAAGCAAATTTTCCAGCCAGATTTTGTGGTCGATCCGTCCTTGGCCCGTGAATGCTTGAGACCGGCATCATTCCAGAACACAAGCTCGCCCCGCATTCCCACTTCAGTCAAGAAACGGAATCCCAAACGATATCCTGTGTGGGAACAATGCCCGCCGGCCCGTCGCTAGTGCTGGTGCCATCGTATGCGATGCCATTCACCCACAACTTGTCATAGTTGTTCTCCGTGCTGAACGCGACCACGTCGATGAGCCGCGTGTTGCTCGAATCTACGGAAATTGTGCATGCATCGTTGTCCGGGTAGTTGCTGGAGGGATACCCGCTGCTGCTGATGCAGCCATCTCCGCCCAGGACGCAAGTCCTCGGTGCAGCGCGCCAAACACTCTGTCGCCCGCAACCGATTTGGTAGGGACCCGGCCCACTCGCGACGCTCCATCCTGGGTCCTTGAAAGGGAAAGTGAGTGCTGCACGCTGCGCCTACAGTGCCACGAAAATTATAAGGCTAGGCATGCTAGGCCTGCCGGCTGGAGGCTTTCTTAAACTTAGCCCCAACCTCCGAAGAATCTGAAGGTTGCAAGCCCCAAGGTCACAAACCAAGCAGCATGCTGCTGCAGGCTGCTGAAAGCTGCTTCCTTAAACATTTGGAACCCTGAGAGTGCGCCAACCACCCACTCCAACTGGCAAAAACCACTCCCTTTCCCCCTCCCGCCCCCCGCCCCCGAAAGGCTCCCGCCCCAATGCTACCTACTAGTATTGCTACTACGACTACTACAACTTCTACGACTACTACTACTCCTCCTCCTCCTGCTGCTGCTACTGCTACTGGTACAACTACTATAACTACATATAACTACTACAACCACTACACCGAAGGGCTTCGAAAGTGAAAGGGAAGGGGGGGAGGGGGGGGTTGAAGAGGAAGAGGGCACGACAGAAAGAAAGGAGGAACAATAGCCAGGAGCTTCTGACATTCGGGTTTCGATAGAACCACAACCTGTTTTCTGATGAGCACTGCGCCAGCCTCTGCAAGGGTCGTTGTTGTTGTTGGCGTCAGTGTCGTCGTCACTGTCGCCGTGGCTGTCACTGTGCTACTTGTGGCCACCTTTGCTGACAGCGAAAGCAGATCCCATGCCACAAGGACGCAACGATTGCTGCACCATCAGCCCATGGCTTTTGATGGTAGGGTATACAGCATACAAGAACGATTCAAACTTCAACCTTGCCAGCCTCCAACAAGCAAATTTTCCAGCCAGATTTTGTGGTCGATCCGTCCTTAGCCCACGGAACGCTCGAGGCCGGCATCATTCCACAACATGCAAGCTCGCCCCGCATTCCCTTTTCAGTCAAGAAACGGAATCCCAAACGATATCCTGTGTGGGAACAATGCCCGCCGGCCCGTCGCTAGTGCTGGTGCCATCGTATGCGATGCCATTCACCCACAACTTGTCATAGTTGTTCTCCGTGCTGAACGCGACCACGTCGATGAGCCGCGTGTTGCCCGAATCTATGGAAATTGTGCATGCATCGTTGTCCGGGTAGTTGCTGGAGGGATACCCGCTGCTGCTGATGCAGCCATCTCCACCAAGGACGCAAGTCCTCGGTGCAGCGCAGCCGCCAAAAACTCTTTCGCCCACAACCGATTTGGTAAGGGCCCGGCCCACTCGCGACGCTCCATCCTGGGTCCTTGCAGGGAAAGTGAATGCTGCACGGTGCTACCCTTCCTCCACAGTGCCATTCCACTAATACATGACCGGGCAGTTTAGGCCCTTGGGCACGCAAGGTTTACAGACATAAACACGACGAACAGGAACAGGAAGGTTTGTTCCATGCCGGCAGGCCCACCCGAACCAAACTATTCTATTGTGACTGTTGTGGGGAAGTCCATGGACTTGTTGGAGATGCTTTCTGAAACTTAGAGGTCTCAATCGTTGGGTCTGCTGCATCCTGCCGCAGAATATCGCAAGCCGCAAGCCATCCCACTAGACGAACATTTCTATACTCCCAGCTATGCTTCCCCAGAATATGTCCACTATAGGATCGAAATTTGGACGCTCTATGCCACCTGCACGACAAGATCTGCACGATTTAACCCTTGATAAGAACGAAAGCTCAGGAGGGCCCTGAACATGCACAGGTCTCAGGGAGTGACACGTACGCATTAGGATTCTCAGGTGTTCACTATGCCAGCCTCCGCCAAGCAAATCTTCCAGCCAGATTTTGTGGTCGATCCGTCCTTAGCCCACGGAACGCTCGAGGCCGGCATCATTCCACAACATGCAAGCTCGCCCCGCATTCCCTTTTCAGTCAAGAAACGGAATCCCAAACGATATCCTGTGTGGGAACAATGCCCGCCGGCCCGTCGCTAGTGCTGGTGCCATCGTACGCGATGCCATTCACCCACAACTTGTCATAGTTGTTCTCCGTGCTGAACGCGACCACGTCGATGAGCCGCGTGTTGCCCGAATCTATGGAAATTGTGCATGCATCGTTGTCCGGGTAGTTGCTGGAGGGATACCCGCTGCTGCTGATGCAGCCATCTCCACCAAGGACGCAAGTCCTCGGTGCAGCGCAGCCGCCAAAAACTCTTTCGCCCACAACCGATTTGGTAAGGACCCGGCCCACTCGCGACGCTCCATCCTGGGTCCTTGCAGGGAAAGTGAATGCTGCACGGTGCTACCCTTCCTCCACAGTGCCATTCCACTAACAAATGACCGGGCAGTTTAGGCCCTTGGGCACGCAAGGTTTACAGACATAAACACGACGAACAGGAACAGGAAGGTTTGTTCCATGCCGGCTAGTCCACCCGAACCAAACTATTCTATTGTGACTGTTGTGGGGAAGTCCATGGACTTGTTGGAGACGCTTTCTGAAACTTAGAGGTCTCAATCGTTGGGTCTGCTGCATCCTGCCGCAGAATATCGCAAGCCGCAAGCCATCCCACTAGACGAACATTTCTATACTCCCAGCTATGCTTCCCCAGAATATGTCCACTATAGGATCGAAATTTGGACGCTCTATGCCACCTGCACGACAAGATCTGCACGATTTAACCCTTGATAAGAACGAAAGCTCAGGAGGGCCCTGAACATGCACAGGTCTCAGGGAGTGACACGTACGCATTAGGATTCTCAGGTGTTCACTATGCCAGCCTCCGCCAAGCAAATCTTCCAGCCAGATTTTGTGGTCGATCCGTCCTTAGCCCACGGAGCGCTCGAGGCCGGCATCATTCCACAACATGCAAGCTCGCCCCGCATTCCCTTTTCAGTCAAGAAACGGAATCCCAAACGATATCCTGTGTGGGAACAATGCCCGCCGGCCCGTCGCTAGTGCTGGTGCCATCGTACGCGATGCCATTCACCCACAACTTGTCATAGCCGTTCTCCGTGCTGAACGCGACCACTTCGATGAGCCGCGTGTTGCCCGAATCTACGGAGATTGTGCATGCATCGTTGTCCGGGTAGTTGCTGGAGGGATACCCGCTGCTGCTGATGCAGCCATCTCCACCAAGGACGCAAGTCCTTGGCAGAACAGGTGTCCTTCTCTCGCTGAGTTGTTTTTGATGCCTGAGCTCGGGTGCCTCGAAAAACTATACGCAACTATATACATATATAATGTTTGCCCCCCCCTCCAAGACCCTCTAAGTCTGTAAGTACATGTATATATATATATATACACATGTACGCGTGGCATCTGCTACAACATCCGCGTTCAGAACTCTGCATATGTGCACGAATATGGACGGATTGAACTCATTCCTCTTCGAACGAATTCAATCCGGCCGGATCCAAGATCCAAGATTTCCCAGAACTTTCGCAGCTTGCAGTTTGGGGATAGGAATCAGGGGGACCCTTGAGGATGTAGGCCCTCTGAACAAGGTCCCTGAAAGAGGGTTAACAAGGGTTCCCTTGTAAGGGTCCCCCCCTATCCTACCTACGAGCAGTGAGATCTTGGGAGATCTGGGATCTTGGATCCGGGCCGATTGAATCCAATCCCTTCGGTTGCATTCGATCGGCGCCCCCCTCAACCTGGGATCCAAGATTCCCTTTCAAGTTTTCTGTGGAATCTTGGATCTTGGACCCAGGCCAAATGAATTCAATCCTTGTCGATTGAATTCAAATCGGCCTATCATTGTCGCATACGTGCACCATCGTGCACTCGTTGCTTTCCGCATGTCAGCCTATCATTGCAGCCTAGGTGCATGTATTGCTTTCTTGTATTGCTTACGACGAGCCGCTATTCCTGAAGCGTCCCAAGAATTCACTCTGTCAGGGTACATCCAAGTCGACGGATTGGTTACCCTTGATCAAGACACCACCACCACACAGAGTCCTCATATATGGTACATAGTGCACCACAATACTCATTCGATTCCCAAAGGCCCCCATAGAACCCACACAGACATGCGCTGCTTGATCTCCTGTATGCTTTCATTATCGCCACCTTTTTTCGCATGATCGGGTTACACGATTACATGGGTCTCGTGTAAAGATTTCCATAGTTTCTGAAGAGTGGTCGAGAGGCAATGGACGTCTTACAGAACTTTGCAGAAGTAGTTACAAGATGTTGCGATGGCTAGTTTTGCATGAATTCTGGGAGTTCTTTTTGGTATGGGAGTTATAGAATATTATACCCCATGTACAGGAGAAAGCATATGGGATCCAAACATGATTTCCGGGGATTCCAGGGTGGGCATACAGGGGTTATCCGAACGTGATGGTTCTGCAGAAGTGATATGTGAAAATTGTATGCAGGATATGCTTTGAGTCTATGAGATATGCTTTGAGTCTATGAGAATGACATGACGATTCGACGATGCTTATTTTGAGGTGAATAGAGTTGGGCGTTGTTGACCCCCCTCCAGACCCCCCCCCCCCCAACCCCCCCCCCCCCCCCAACCCCCCCCCCGCCCCCCAACCCCCCCCCCCCCCCCCCCAAACACCCCCCCCCCCCCCCCCCCAACCCCCCCCCCTCCCCCCCCCCCCTCTCCCCCCCCCCCCCCACCCCCCCCCCCCCCCCCCCACTTCCCCCTTCTTTCTGCCCCCCCCCCCGCCCCCCCTCCCTGCCCCCCTCCAAACCCACACTGACTTCAGGACGAAGTGAAAAGTAAACATTGGCTTCGCACGTTCCACCAAAGCAAAAGTGTGGACCCCAGGTTATTTGCACATTCCCACATGTTACTTGCAAGCTTTTCTCACTTCTCACAAACCCAAAATGTTTGGACCTCATGAAATTTAAGAGGTGCTCGCATGTTCCACAAAATGCGTGCCCTGTCTACGAGGTTTTCGTATGTGCCCACGAAGCCGAAACCTTTGGATACCAAGGTGACTTCCGAGGTTTTGCAGAGTCTATGACAGCAAAACGTTTGGGCGTTATGTGTATAGGTCTGACTCAAGAGGTTTGCGCACGTGTTACGAAAGGAAAATTCATGTTTGGAGTACAAAGTTTGCGCAAGCTCCGCGAACGCAAATCGGCATTGGACCCCGTGGGCAGGGACAATACGCAGCACCTCTGCTTGCGTGCACTGCGCTCACGTCGGTTGGAAGAGTGATTTCTACTGGCATGTGCTCGATCCTTTGTCAAAAAAACTTGCGCTTTTGCAAAACTAAACTTCGCGCTTCCATGTTTCCCATGTTGAGAATCAGTTTCGATGCAAATAGTTAGAGCGCCATGCCGCAAGCAGATGACTTGAAGCGGTTGTATTCACTTCAACTGGCTGTTTCAATCATGGCGCACTGCGGTGCAACATGCGTGTATACATCGCACCAAGCTGACACTGCACGTAGCGCCCTCCCGCGCAAATTCTTGGCATGATAGTTTTGCAGTGTCCACAGCATCACAGAATCGCGCCGAGCTGTCACATATCGAAGCCCGTTCACAAAAGAGCTGGTTTGTGACCGGATGTGCAAGCCGACTCATATTGGGTTTAGTGTTTAGGGTTTAGGGTTTAGGGTTGTAAGTATGACAACACCTGGCTGTCACTCTAAGACCAGGACGCTCAGCTCCAAAATCACTCGGCTCAACCAGCTGAGTGCCCGACCCAGAGGCTACACTCCAAGATTGGCCTTCAGACAGCAGACGCTTTTAGGGCTTAGGGTTTAGGGCTCAGGGTTTAGGGTTTAGGGTTTAGGGCTCTGAATCAGTTCATGTCAAGCATTTTGGACTCCGAGCCCGTGACTTCGCGATGAAAAATGTTTTTGTGTTTTGAATGTCAGGGAAGCTTTCATGTAGAGCCGGGATGTTTCAATGTTTCAGGGAGTTTAGTGGGATTCGATTGGGAAATCGCCTCAGCCCCTCGTCTGTCGTCAACTCTTGCCAAGAATGGCGACGAACCCCTTGAACCCGAGTGTGTTTGAGATGCAGCCATTTCTCGAACTTCTCGCACTACAGGACTTCAGGCGACCCCAGTTGCGACTAGCAAGAAACACCCACATCAACCACTGCTGCACTTGTTCCGCCAACTTTCCAAACTTTCGACACAGAACTCAGCCAAACGCTTGCACGGTTTTGACAAATCCCGTGCGCACTGCTTGCAGACTCTAAAAAGCACGCGTATGTCTCTAAGGCGGAGCTACACCCAGTGAGATCTGGCCAAGCCTGCGCAAAGTCGACATATCGAAAACCACGTGGCATAGAGCCGAAAACAATGAGCCGCCATACCATGCCTGGTCGCACCACGCTTGCATATAGACGTTGTGTTTTGGGATGTTCCCCCCCCCCCCTTATACTGACAAACAGTCTTTGATCATAAGGGACTGTCAACATAAGGGGGAACATCCCAAGTTGTGTGCCCCAATTTGACAAGTGGCTGCGGAAACGATTAGTGTGTATACTCCTTGGCCCATCGACTCAGGGCATGGAGACAACCAGGCAAGAATGTCCAAGGACCCTGACGACCACCAAACGCGAAACCCTAAACCCTACACCCTAAACCCTAAACCCTAAACCCTAAACCCTAAACCCTAAACCCTAAACCCTAAACCCTCTGGGTGGAATCCAGCTGCTTCTGCGACCAAGTTGCAGAGCGCACTTGCTGGACCACAGGCCACTAAGCACCCTTAAAAAAATCGGGGCTGGAGATCGAAGCGGCAAACTACACCATGACTGGGTTTAGGGTTTAGGGTTTAGGGTTTAGGGTTTAGGGTTTAGGGTTTAGGGTTTAGGGTTTAGGGTTTAGGGTTTAGGTAAAGGATCCCTCAACCGACCCGCGAAACGCTAAAAAAATGAATCTCGTCAACTATACTTGGCTGACTTCTGGACCCCTCCAAAAAGTTTAACTTTTAGGCTCCTCCAGAAGAAAGTCAACTATGCCTGGTCTGAGATGTGTCAAAATGTAGAGGGGCCAGTCTTGCCTACCACAGACCCCGATGTCTGAACCCCCACTGTCTGGTCCATTCCGCACAGAGGAAAAAGAAACTTGTACGCGGGGGGGCGGGGGCTACCATAGTTACTACATACATACATACATACATATATATATATATATATATATGTATATGTAATATATGTGTACATATCTACATCTATATCTATATATATATATATATACTCTCCATACAAGCAGAAGAAGAGCCTCAGGCGCGACACTGAACTGAGGACAATGGAAACACAAAGAAAAGGTAAAGAACTACCCACGTCATACATGTATACAGGGTAATATGTATTGGATCTCAGATGCTGACAAACGACAAGAAAGGACGTACAGATAATCGAGAAGAAAGGATGTTAATCCTCAAACCATAAGACGAAGAAGCATTCGAAGGCATAGCGTGACATGTAAAAACATTATATGTAAACCCGGGGGTGCGAGAATACACTGAGCAAATATCATGCCTTGATATTCGGGGAACTTGGACGTATTCGCGTGCATGGAGTGATGCAAGAAAATCAAGATTCACCACAAGCCCACCCACGCCGTCCCAACGGTTGCACTTTGTACTAGTTCTTTGCATCCCATAGGAGGCAAGCCCCACAAAATGGGCATTTTCTTGGGAAAACGTGAAGAGAATTACAATCAAAAAGTGAGCGGGGGTTCCCAAGAAATGCCAATGTTTGTAAGGCTTTCCTCCTATGAATCCCCAAGTTCCAACTAGCTAAACCCAGAAAACCTCAGCTGGAGCACAAAACATGTTCAGGTTTGGGAGGGCCAGCCAGTGGTTCAGAATTGCTTTCTGAACAATTCTGAAAATCCCTCCTTGTAAATCCCTCCTTGTAAATCTAACGGTTCGGGAAAGGCCAAGAGCCGTGCCTGAAGCCTGAGCAACACGCATTTCCGGGCCCAGCAAAAATCAGGTTGACAACCGCCACTGCAGGAACGGGGTGGGGTGGGGGGGATCGGCCAACACAATTCGGCCAAAGTTTGGCCAAATGATTCATTCAGGCGCTGCAAAGATCATAAGGAGAGGAGGCTCTATGACCTCTTGAGCCATGTACTGAGAGCCAGCCACTACAGTCTCCCATGTATCTTAAGTTGCCATGCCAAAATGTTGCCCCCCCCGCCATGCCCCCTCGAGCGAGAGGTCATTCTGATGACTGGCAGGGGGCGGGGGAGGGGGGTGAAACGAGCATGGGACCTTTGCCACCCCGAGAGGGCAGTACGGCAAGCCAGCTAGTAGTTCAAAAAGTGCTTTGCGAACCGTTCATGGCACTTTAGTTCGGATGCTTCATTGAAGTGCCCCATGGTGCCCCCTCCATCCCCCCCTCCCCGTGAAGCAAAAAGTAATGTTTCCGGGCTCTCGAATAATCATTTTGTGAGTTCGCCCAGACGGGTCAAGCCTACTGTAGGCCGGGTTGGGGGGGGGGGGGATACAAACGGTGCCCTTGTCACGGTCCTGAAGTCTTACTTTGAGGACTCTGCCAGGCGCGAACTGAAACACTCTCTTGGCTTTCTTTACAAGATATGTACTGCCTTGTAGCTCGAGATAGAATCGTTCTCAACAACACACACTTTTGTGATCACTGCGCGTGGCAACCAGCACGGCTGGCGATTTCTTGCCCCATTTGCCCCACTTGCTCTGGTTTGGGGTATGAAGAATATGAGGCTCTTCTGTTGGGGCCTTTGAATGGGCCAATCGATTCCCAGATGGCGTTAAACACACTATAGGACGACAGAAACAAGGAGAGCGCTTTTTACATCCAGGCCTTGAATTCTGCCGAGCAAGTATGCTGACACACAGGGCTCCCCTTCCTTCCGAAAAGGTGCGGCCAACTGAGCCTTGTTGCAACTGCAAGCTTCACCAAGCACAAGCTCAGCGTCAGTTGGCGGTGCTTGCCATAGCCTTCGCCGACAAGCGTATGAGTGTGCTTTCATTACCCACATGCAACTTTCATGCACAAAGGTTCACACAAGTAATTCGAAGAGTGGTCCTTGAGCTCTGGCTTCCCTTTGGGTAGCCATTTTGTTCGCGTGCTCACGACAACGAGCAGTCAAATACAGCTTACGCACATGACCGTAAGCACATGTGCACACTCAACCAAGGACTAAACCCTAAACCCTAAACCCTAAACCTTGTTGGGATATTCCAGATCGCCTTCAATCCTGGCCGGTTTTGGGCGACGAGGCCATGGTGCGGCTCCACTTTTTCTGCACGTTTCTTTTGCAAAGTGTGGAATGCACTGAAGGATTGTTGGTCATGAGTTTTTTGTGCTAGGGGGATGCTGGCGATGCTGGCGCGCTTGCGGCCGGATTGGGCTGAGAGCTTTCGAGCCAGCTCAGGGACATGCAGCGCATGACAGCGTAGGACGGCGGCAGACTTCTGAGTGCAAAGGCTATAGGGCAGCTCTTCTTTTTTGTCCATGTCATTTGGGCTTCAGAAGGACTCAAGGACCTGGTCGGAATAGGCGACCCAACCATACTTTCCACAACGGGTCTGGACGTAGCCAAACGACACCTCAGGCCCTTCCTCTGATGTCTTTTCTTTTGCTTCGTCCAGGAGCTCAGCCACATCGCCCTCCAGCAAGACGCCCAAGACGTTGGCATCTTCAGGCTCTTCCACGAGCTTCTTCTCCGAGAGCTGGCAGCGGCGTCGGGCGGTGTAGGCCCGGAGAGGGCTCGGACGCAGGTGAGCCATGGTCGCCCAGCCCTCCAGGCCCTCGCGCGCGCGGCAGCGGATCCGCACCTCAAGCATAAATAAGCCCCAAGACAGCCCTCAACTTCCACAAAAAAAACTCACGTATATACTTATGTACTTACGTACCTATATTCTTATATACTTCTCTACTTCTATACTTATATGCTTATAGACTTATATACTTATATACTAATATACTTATGTACCTCTGTACCTATATACTTATATACTTCTTGGCTTATATGCTTATACAACTTATATGCTTACATAACTTATATTACATATATATATATACATATGTATATGTATATATATATATATGGTCTCGGGCTCCCGGGCCCTACCCCCCCTTCTCCCCCATGGTATCCCCCCCCCCCTCCCCCCCGGCCCACGCCCCTGGTATCCGCGGCCCCCCGACCCCCCCCCCCCCCCCCAAACCCCAAGCCTCTCCCTAAACCTTAAAACAAACTTAAACCTCACACCCTTAACTTAAACCGTAAACCTTCGACCCCAAACGCCAACCCCCATTCACAGCACAGGGGGGGGGGGCTAAACCTTAAACCCTAAACTTATGTAAACCCTAAACCTTAAACTTTAAACCTTAAACCCTAAACCCGAACCCGAAAACCCTAACCAACCGCACCCACACTACAGGGGGGGCGCAGGGGCAGCACGGGTGGCCGGTCTCTTAAACCTTCAACTCAACCCCAAATCCTAACCCCAACCACCCAATCACACCACGGGACTAAACCTCAGACCCTAAACCCCGAACCCTAAACCTTAAACACAAACCCGAACCCCCAAACCACACCCACGCCACAGCGGGGGCCAGGGGTAGGCCTAATCCTTCAACCTTAAACCCTTAAACCCTAACCCCCCAACCACACCCACACCAAGGGGGTGGGGGGTGGGGGTAGGGATCCAAGGGAGGATGGGGGGGGGGGGGGGGGGGGGGGTATATATATATATATATATATACATACATATATATGTATACATATATATATATATATACATATATATATACTATATATATATACTATAGAAACAAATATATATATATATATATATATATATATATACATATACCTCTTGCTTACTACGCCCCATCCTCGTTGGGCTGCTTGGGCTCCTTGACCTCCTTCCCTGTGTCGGTCTCTGTCTCCTTATCCTTCTGCTCCATGTTCTCCGCGTTCTCCACGTTCTCCTTAGGATGGCTTAGGGTTTAGGGGGGATAAGGGGTTTAGGGTTTAGGGTTTAGGGTTTGGCCCACTTAAAAACCCTCTGGAAACGAGTCCTGAATCTGGATCCTTATAAACGCAACAAGGGGGAGAATACAAGGGAACATACAAAATGCCCCGAGGGCCTAGAGCATACCGAGTCTCCACGTCCTTGGGCTCAGTGGGGGTCTCCTTGGGCGTCTCGCTGGGCGCCTCGTTCGGTGCCTCGGAGGGCGTTTGCTCATCGAGGAGTTCCACGAGCTCCCCGGCCCGCAGGACCCGCAGCGCGTTGGTGCCGGAAACCACCGTATCCTGCAAAAGACTGGAACTTGGCTAGGATGGCTAAGATCTATAAGTGGATCAACCGAGAAGACCAGAAGAATTTGAAGACTGAAGAAAGAAAAGTGCTGCAAATATCATCCGGCGTCCTTCGTAAGCGGGGTGTCTTGCTGTACCTTGTAAAAAGTCTTGAGCAAACGCTCGAAAGCACACAGCGGCAGGGCCTCCGCCTCTGCGGGCAGCGCCCTCTGGAAGACCTTTGCCACCATCTTCGGGGAGAGCGGGGATTCCGAGGATTGCTTGCACAGCCGGAGGAAGGCCTCCTCCGAAAGCTCGAGCTTCTCCTCCTCTTCATCCCCATTCTTCTCGAGGCTGCTTCTGAAAAGCTGGTCCGCCTTCAGGCCCTTCGTCCGCATTTGGGTTCGCAGCGCTTCGCCCAAATCGACCCAAGCGGCTTCCACGGCCCGGTTCTCCTTCCGCTGCGCCTTGATCCGGTAGAGCTCCGTGAGTCGCTTGGCGCGCTCCAGGCGCTGGCCTGTCCGACCTATACCTGCACCGGTCGTTGGGGGGGCATTATTGAAATTATCATTTTTGTTCCTTCTTGGGGTTTAAGTATTCATAAAAGAATGAATGTAATATGATTCTCAACCATGACCCAGATACGTAGCACTAGGCGCTTCTGGTGATCGGCCATCAGCGCGTCAAGCTCCGCCACGGGCATTTCGTTTCCGTCCTTTCCCTGCTTCACCTTCTCAGCCTCCTTGCGGAAGGCCTGTGGCAAAGCTTGGACCTTCTTCTGGAAGAGCTCTGCTTGCGCCTGGCCCTTCTGGATCAGAGCCTCGCACTCGTCGGCCCGGACCTGCATCTTCTCCAAGGGGGCCTCGGCAGCCTCGGCGAGCAGCGGTGCCACCGCCACCTCCACTTCTGCCAAGGCCGCTTCCAGGTCCGCGCCTCCCCCACCTTCGCCGCTCTCCAGGTCCTGGACTCGCCGGCGCCATTTGCCTTGTTCATGGTTGGGATCGTATTAAAGATGCGTATTCCTTAATTGGGTTTAAGCACCCTTAAAAGATGTGAAATGTTAATTACTCAACTGTGACAAAGTGGCTCTGGAGGGTGGACTGCAGCTTCTGCTTTGCCTCCCTCGCCAGCCGGCGATTGGTGTCCCGCTCCAGCTCCCGGAAGATGCCCACGGAGGTCGCCAGCAAGTGGAAGTCCTCGAAGCTCAGGCCTGACAGCTCCTCAGCGACTGCTCCCCGGACAATGCGCTGTAGAGCCTTGTCACTGACCTTCGCCTTCGAGTCCTTCAGGAGAGATTTCGCCAGACCCTTCGTCTCCTCCAGGGACAGAACCCCCTTGCTGCCCTTCTGGAAGCTCTGGAAGAGGCTCCGTCGCCTGGACTCCTCTTGCTCAGCAGCCCCCCGGCGCTTCAAGCCTTTCTCACAATGCAGAACCGCCTCCAGGTACATCTCTCCGGTTTGCCGGGTGCCCTGCAGCCGCCGCAACAACAAGGGCACCTTCGGCTGGGCCCATGAATCTCCAAACAGGGTCTCTCTGAACGAAACGAATGCAAAACAGACGGCCCAAGTTCATTCTTACAATGTCTTGCACAAGGCTTTTTAAAAAACGGAGGCAGAAAGCGGCAAAAAACATCAGCGCTTCCCCCCCGCCCCCCTTACCTGCTTCAAGCACTCCGATGCTTTCTCCTCCTTGAGCTCCTCCCTGAGTTTCACGTTGGCAGACGCGTAGCCGCCGCAGTCCAAGGCTGCTGCCTCAGCTTTCCGATGGGCCGCTTTGGCCCGCTGCACCAGCATCGCTGCCTCCTCCGAGCTTTCCACCCGCAGAGATTGCAACTCCGTCGCCGAAAAGAACTTCAGGGCATCAGCTTTCGGATTCGCCTCCGATTTGGTGGCCTTCTCACCATTGTCACCCTCTCCGGGCTCCATCTCGATCTTCTCCTTGAGATGTTCTGCTAGGATCTGGTGCAACTCCTTGAGGGTCCCCTCAGCCTCTTCGAGCCGACGGGTCAGCTCCCCCACGAAGGCCTCAGCAGATTGCAAATATTGTCAAGCACACATTCGCAAGCACATCGTGTTGCTTTTCAGCGTTAGCTGTGCCTTTGTCTTTGTTCCACTGTGCACATGAACTGCGCTTTGCCCTCGGAAAGTTGAGAAGAGGCGCCTTGGCCTTTTCCTCCTCCTCGTTCTGCTTCCGACGCATCTGCAGGAGGGTTTCACAGCGCTTCCGCGCTTGCTCCATGCCAACTTGTGCCTCCTCTGACACCGCCTGCAACTGCGGGCTCAGGGCCTTCCCTTCCGTCTCTGCCCTCAGCAAAGTGGTCACAGTTGGTCATGTCAGGTTTCCGGTTTAATTAAAACTACCTTTGTAAGCCAGAGCTTCACAAGGCTTCACACTTAACGCAGCTAAGCTCGGCACTGGAGGAGGTCCTTCAGTTCCTTCTCCATGGCATCCAGGGTTTCGGGCGGGGCGGAGCGCACCTTCTGAATCTGGCGGCGGATGGCCAAAACCGAGCGCTGCTCCTGCTTCCTCTTCTCAAGCTCTTGCTGCGCTTTCTCCTGCTGGGCTTTCATCTCAGCCTCCTTTCGTCTCCGCTCCTCAGCCTGGGCCTTGGCCTGAGCCTCCCTCCTGGCTGCTTCGTTCCTCCTCCTCTCCTCCATCTGTTGCCTTTCCCTCTCTTGCTTCTCGCGCTCGCGCATCTCTCGTTCCCGCAGCTCTCGCTGCCGCTGCTCTTGCTCCCGCTTCTGGCTCTCACTGGAAGCCCACGGCGATGTGGGGGGTGCTGCATGACCTGCATGCATAGGGGGCATGGAGTAGGCAGGCTGACCCCAGGAATAGCCCTGCGGGGCAGAGGCATAGCCATCGTAGCTAGGTGCTGTCGGGACAGGAATCACTGCGGGCGCGGGCGCAGGCGTGGGCGTGGGCGCTCCCCCGGGCGCTGGGTAGAGGATGAATGTGTTGTCCACGGGGCCATCGTAGGGGACACGCCAGCCACTAGCAGGAGGCTCCGACTCCTTGTCTGGCTGGTACGCCCAAACTTGGTCACCCCCCACCTTGGGCCCAAACCACCACCCGGAGAACGAGGGACCATCGCGTTCGTCCTCGGCTTCAAATTTAAAAGGCCGCAAAAGAGGCCAACAGCTTTGAGATTTTGGCGAAAACAAGGCATTAAAACCGAAAAATGTGGGTCCAACGTCAGGGCACCCAGTAGTAAATCATCACATCCAGCCCATTCCACTGGCTCTCCTTCTTGAAGACGGGATGCCCATGATTTTCGCCGCTTCGCGTATATTGGCCCCGCACGATCTGAGCTACGGTGTCATGGCGGCAGCCCGACACCACCAGCCGCCACATAGAGCTCTCTTGCGAAGCTTGCGGCTGGCTGGGGGCAAAGTTGAAGGTTTGCGGGTAGGCCGCGGCCTGCGCCTGCGCCTGCGCCTGCGCCTGCGCCTGTGCCGCTGCTGCCTGTGCTGCCTGGCTTGGGTAGCCTTGCGCTTGCGGCGCATGCGGCGCTACCGGAGGGACTGGCGCATACATGCCAGGATAAGCCTGTGCATAGCCCGGATATTGGACTCCATAAGCAAAGCTCATGGCGTGGGCTACACCGCCGTCTACTTTGAGATCTGAAGCTGCGGGAAGTATTGAGAAGTCGGCGGTGCTCCGACATGTTTCCACATCCAAAGGGTTGTGCGGCATACACGTGCCAAATAGCGGTGGCGGATTGGACTTTTTTGTCAGCTGGGTAAGCATACTCATGCCTTTGGGTGCGCCCACTATCGAGCACGACGGTCCATCGAGAAGGGAAGCTCATGAAGACACAACTTCTCTGAACCCCTAAAACCTAAATCCTAAACCCTCAGCCCTAAACCCCAAACCCTAACCTCCATTTTGCTATTCCGAACTGGACTTTGGGAGGCTGAGCTGGCTGTTTCTTGAAGTCGGGATATGGGAGTTTACCAAAACACGGGACCCCTAGTACAATCCCTAAAATAGCAGGATTCCCTTACGATCAGGACCCCAAGAAGGTACCCTAAACTCTAAACCCTAAACCCTAAACCCTAAACCCTAAACCTCCAAGTACACAAACTCCACATCAATGCTATGTTACCAGCCCGCAATGAGCGCTGCCAATGCTTCCTTCAGTCACAAAAGCTCAGAATTGGACGTGCCAGTCGCCTCCTGGTCAAGGATGGCTTAGGGTTTAGGGTGTAGGGTGTAGGGTTAGGGTCTAGGGTTTAGGGTTTAGGGTTTAGGGTTTAGGGTTTAGGGTTTAGGGTTTAGGGTTTAGGGTTTAGGGTTTAGGGTTTAGAGTTTAGGGTTTAGGGTTTAGGGTTTAGGGTTTAGGGTTTACGGTTTACGGGGGGTCGAGTCCAGGAGGCCAAGCTGCAGAAAGCGGAGGGGTACGAACGATCATCGAACAGCGAGAGCGAGAGAAGAGGCCGTACTTGGAGGTTCATGCGTACTTATAATATATTAATATTTTTTGAATTAAATATTATTTATTAATGAATTATTATCTAACCAGTATAATATAAGCCCCATTACAAGTCTACTTATAACCTACTTAGAGGACTTGGGGGTCTGACACCTCCTCTTTGAGCATGTCGGCCACTAAAGCCGGTTCTTAGCATTTGACGTGCGTCTACAATCGATCCCTTACACGACTTTACCATCTGGTTTGCGGGGTTTCCCTTCAAGTGCAGTCCAATGCGCAGGAAACTCATGCCACCAAAGCCCCGAGACAACCAGGATTTTGCTTTTGTACGAACGTTGGAATTGTGACTCTTGTGATGAATGGTATAAGCACGCGATGTTGGGCCGGCAGCGGCCAGCTGGATTGGGAGTTGCAGAAGCTGTGCCCTTTAGTCAAGGGTCAACCTGGGAGTAAGCCTACGGGTATTACCTACAAGTTCTACTACAGTGCAGCAGTAGCAGGAATAGCAGTAGCAGTAATAGCAGTAGCAGCAGTGGCAGTAATGTTTTGGATAGCTGTGGCAGCAGTGGCAGCAGCAGTGGCAGCAGCAGTGGCAGCAGCAGTGGCGGCAGCAGTGGGAGGAGGAGGAGGAGGAGGAGGAGCAGCCGTAGTAGCAGTAATTACTCAGAACAGCTAGCACGGATGATGGTAATAGGAGTAAAGATAATCACCAAAGGAGCGGATAAGCACACAGGAGTGTAATTTCAAGACAGGCAGGCGCAATTCGCTGCGGGGCGGGAACGTTCAGATGTTAAGATGTAATGCACTCGTATAGCTTTCGTTGGAGACAGCCCTGGTCTTCGGGTCAAGGACGGTTGTTGGGCAACAACGGCAGCAGGGCAAGGCTGCAAACAGTAAAGCTAACAGTATTTGCAATAGTGACAAGCGTACAAGCGATGGCACAAGCAATCCTAATCGTAATCAAAACGAAAACGGTCGTCGTCGTCGTCCTCCTCGTCCTCCTCGTCGTCGTCGTCGTCGTCGTTGTCGTCGTCGTCGTCGTCGTCGTGATGGTGGTGGTGGTGGTGGTGGTGGTGGTGGTGGTGGTGGTGGTGGTGGTGGTGGTGGTGGTGGTGGTGGTGGTGGTGGTGGTGGTGGTCGTCGTCGTCGTCGTTGTCGCAGCAGCAGCAGCAGCAGCAGCAGCAGCAGCAGCAGCAGCAGAAGAGATGATACACCTCTACCACTACCCCTCTGCAAATACATGGCAGTACCCTTGGCCTACCCCCACCCTGCCTAGACAAGCGCTACGTAGAGGAACGCCATGGAACGCCAGCATTGGATGTGGATTTCGTGTTGTGCCACCAGCCTCGAGCTCCAGAAAGTTGAATAGCAGCCGAAATGGCTTCCGAAAGTAAGGGTACCATATTGGGATCCTTATTATAAGGGAATCCGACTATTTGGGAGTCTATGTTAGGGGTCGTCCCTTATTTTCGTAAACCCCAAAATGCACATCGCAGGCGTTGGGGGGTCCACTGCTGTTTTGATCAGACTGCCACGCCGTCTTGTTTCCCCACGTAGCTCATCACATTCTTGTGCCCTAAGGCAGCTTCAAAAGGCCACAACAGCATAACAGGTCCCGTGTGAATTATAACACGCTCTTGCTGCGAAGCTCTGGTGCCAAGATCGGGCAGCTCAAACCCGGACATCACAGCATGGCTTGACAGGTAGAAAAGAGCAGCATCTTTTCACTCGTCGCCCGGGTTTCACTCTCAACGGGCGACAGCTGCGACCTCCTTTGTTGCTAATGCGTCCTTTGCTCTAGCTAGCTATCGAGCCTGCATTGTATGGTATACTTCAGCCCCATGCAAACTCTTCGCAGCTTGCCAGACATGTGCATTCGCAGTGCGCGGATACTCCCACAGCGAGACCCTCGCATCACATCAAGTCGATCATGTCCTGGTCGTCTTGACAACAACTCTACGCAGCGTGGACCAACCGAGAACAAAAAAAACGTGGCTCTTAGTAGGGCAGGAGGGAATGAGGTACCCTACATAATCCCTTAATAGGGTTTTTCTAGGGGGATATAGGGTACCTCACTCTCACATTCCCTACTAAGAACCAGTCAGGAAACCCAAGTTGGTTCTCCTCGTCCTGCAGGCAGTCCTTCGGGGGTGCATTTTGCTCTCTCTCTCTCTCTCTCTCTCTCTCTCTCTCTCTCTCTCTCTCTCTTCCTCTCACTTCTTATTTTGGGATGTTCCCCCTTACTAACAGTCCTTGATAGGAACAATAATCGGGGGCACTAGTCCCGACTGTTGGAAAAAGGGGGAACATCCCAATTCTTATTCTTCTTCAGAGGGCATGAGGCTCGGGAGTTGCATTTGCGCACCCGAACGCCTAAGTGGCATTGGTCCGCGTGATGCAAGCTCACGTCTGTGCAGTCGGGTGGCGATTGCCCTCTGCAGAAATGCAAAGACAGACGCTGGTACGCGATTAGCACGAAAACAGCAGAACCAACACGCACAACAAATTTGATATCATTACACTACCCCAGTGGTTCGGCACGTCTCAGCCTTCACTTGTAGAACATGTTGGGCCAAGAGGGACACTTCTTGTTGTCTGTCATGGCCGCAGAAGCGCGGGTAAGCTCCACCTCACACAGAACCCACCCAGGCGTTTATAAAGGGCCCGGACACTAGATGAAGCTTTTACCAAGTCAAGGCTACTCGGCCGGCATGAGAGGTAGACTCAAGCCTAAACAGCTGCTCTCTCTGTCCCTCTCTTTGTATACTATCTCTCTCTATCCCTCTCTCTCGCACTCGCCTTCCTGTGGCTGGAGTGCGAACTCAAAATGGGAGGAGGCAGCAAGCAAAAACATGCACGCACGCCCATCGGTCGGTGCAGGAATTTGGACTACTGCCCTCCTAAAGTTCACACTACTTTGTAGCCCCCCCCCCCCGACCCCACAAGAAAAGCCGAACATCCCCAACACGCCCTACCAACTAAAGCTGTACTTATAACCCACTTAGAGTACAGTTATAGTTGTATTTGGCTAATAAGTACCATGACCCTACCCCAAACCCTAAACCCTAAACCCTAAACCCTAAACCCCCAAGTAGCGCTCTCGAAATAAAAGACTATAAATAAATGAAGAATAATCAGTAAATAACCATAACAATAATGACCCCTATTGCCCTTATTAAGGAAGAACGATTTTTTTTTTTTTTGGGGGGGGGGGGGTGGTTCTCAAGCACATGGTAGTCGACGCTTGGGTTCCTCCCCGGAACTGGAGCCAAGGTGGCTCACTCACTCACTCTTTCTCTCTCTTTCTTTCTTTCTCTATTTCTTTCTTTTCTTGTCGTTTCGTCTCTTTTCTTTGTTTTGTTCTTTCTTGTCTTTCTTTCTGCGCACCTAACCGACCTAACCTCCCCACAATACAAGCTCTTTCCGTCCTGGTCCACGTCAGATGCTGTGCATGCTGTACTGGTAGGAGTTGGACAATCATCCAGCTTCCGGTGCTGCGTCAGTTGCTCTCTGTTCCAGAGCTGCCCTTAGACGCGCTGGGCTTTGATGGCACGTTGCTACTAGTACCAGCTGAGCGAATGACAGATGTAAAGGCCGATCGTCTTCGATGGCGATGCTTCTTGACGGAACTGCATGGGTCGCGCGCACAATCGTGCAAAGCTTGTTGCAGGAGTTGCAGCCAATCACCGCTGGCACAGGGCCATGAAGAACACTCGAATGGCCGTTTCAGGCCTTGTCAAAGCTGTCCAAGTCAATGTACGTTCCTGCCATTGCATGGGGAGGTCGGTACAACCAATGCTGCAGTGTACTCCGCAAAGCAAGCTCGAAAGCATCGGCAATTGTGTGTCCCGCATGGCAACGGAGACCGACCTGGCAATGAAGGGATGTCAAGATGGAGAAAAAAAGATATGAAAAAAAAAGTAAATATATATGCATATATATTAAACAATAAATAGTATATACACATATATACATATACGAGTATATGCTAATCCTTCCCCGGCACACCTCAAGGACCAACTAGAGAAGCGCTCGAGTTTGGTGACCCAATGTCCCCGGGGGTCTCTCTAAAGTCGCAAGGCCCCCAACCCCCCCTTCCTCCCCCAAGACCAAGATCCAAGATTCGAGATGCCCCAGAAACTTTTTGGAGGTATCT